ATTATCAAAGGATGTTAGCACTCCACTAGATCCTAAATGCATATGCAATGCAAAGTTAGAGCATCTAGTGGCACTTTGATAACCGATATTTCAATACTAGTTTCACCCCTCTTGATAGTATGGCTATATAAACCTAAATGTGATCACAAACTCTCTAAGTGTCTTGATCACCAAAATAAAATAGCTCCTACAAGTTATACCTTTGCCTTGAGCTTTTCCATTTTCTCTCTTCTTCTCTTCAAGTTTAAGCCCAACATCATCTCCAATGCTATCACCATTGTCATATTATGATCTTCATTTGCTTCTCTTGATCTTGTGCTACTATCTCATGATCACTTGATGAACTAGGTTAGCACTTAGGGTTTCATCAATTCACCAAAACCAAACTAGAGCATTTACTCCAAAGCCTTTGACTTACCCTTCACGCTGAGGAACCGGTCCATCAAGCCAAGTCTTGCTCCTTTCCTCTTCTTCACCTTGATCACATGACTCAATGTCATGTCTCATGTGCAATAAGCTCCTTCATCACATGGAAGGGAGCTTTAACATCCCATGATTTTCATCTCCATGGCCACGCTCATATCCATGTACAGTGGACTAATCACCCGTCCGGGTCTATAAAGCACAATTAGCCTCCTAGGTCTCCCCAATTACCAAAACCAACAAGGACCTTTGAACCATCCGCCCCAATCGATGACGCCGACGCATCACGGAGCTCCGCCATACTCCCCCGCATCCGTAGGTTCCCTCACTTCTTTGATTTGGTATTGAATCGCTCGGATTCACCCTCACCCGCGACCCTTTTCTCTCTCTAGTTCGCCGCCACCGTCGACCTGATTCCCTGGAACTCTCCCGGACGCCGCGACCACCTCCGTTGGACTCACGGTGAGCTTCTCCACCTCCCCGTGCCCCCAATTCATTGAATGATGCCCTAGAGCGCCATATCGGCGAGCTCCAGTCACGCCGCCATGGCGCCACCGCCGTTGGGACCATCGGCTCGACGTGTCCCCACCCTAGGTTTGCACCCCGTTGAGTTCGCGAGTGCATGTACTCCATTCTTGTGTGTTCGGTTTGTTCTGGGGTGGTCCGGAACATCGTACCGGCGTTCGCTATGGCACACGGCTCGCCGCCGGCCATGGCGGGATCACCGGAGATGTTGTGCAGCCGACGGGAGTTGTCCCGTTCACACCCCGCCATCGGATTCACATGGACAGCGATGATTAGGCCATACCGATTTGGTGAGTAACCGGTCCACCATGCACCCGTGGACACGGTCCATAGCTCCGCGTCAGCGCGCGCCACGCACACGTGGTGCACCACGCCACTCACGCTGCCCACGTGTCCGCCCAGTCAGCCGGCGACGCGGTCAACCGCGACCCGCCGTGCACATTTTGCAGTTTAGCCCTCGGTTTTTGGTGAATCAACCCATGGTCCAATTCAGTTCAAAAGAGTTACTTTTCAGTCCTATTTTTATTTGTTTTAGACCCTATAGTTTTAGGAATAGTGCGCGCCATCCATAATCCGTTTAAATTCATATTTTAATTATTTTAATTCAAAAATAAGTTCGGTTTATTTACATAAATGCCATTGGAACCTTATTTCATGCATAACTTTTGCGTTTTAAGTCTGATTTGAGTAATTCTTTCGCTCACGTGTTCGTAGCAGTATGTAGAATAGTTTTATAAGCTTTTTAATCTATGTTTTTACTGTTTGGTGTACTGTTCTAATAGAAGTCTATTTATTTGCATGTGATGATTGGATTGAATGCTTGATTGGTGAATGGAACACGTTTAGGGGGTGAGCAGTTCGTGGTGACTGAGGATCAGCAGAAAGATCAGCAGTACCAGGAAGAGAACTTTGAGGAAGGCAAGTGTAGCAAATGCCCCTTGTACCTATGAACCGTACAATTCATTTACATGCATGTGTCTAATATGAATTACCTTTAAGGACTTTACCTAGATTACTATTGTACCACATATCCTTGATACCTATGGTTTGGGATGCATTTTGGATAGATGCTGCAGCGCTCAATATAAAATAATTGTTAAACATGACTAAAGGTATTATGCAATGTGATAAAATAGAGCTTTTTAGCAACAATTAGAGGGCTAGAGTACGGGGTTGAGTGCTCTAGTGCCTCTCCATAAGGACTTAATCCTGAAGCGGCCACCCAGGAGGTTTCGTATAACCCCGAGTGTCATATGGCTCTGACTTTAACCTGTTAACTAGATTGTACTAGCTCATCTATAGCTTTCCGTAAGGGCAAGAGGGGGACACTAGTTGGTATGTTTCCTTTCCTGCTAGGGTGTGTACCATGCCGCGACCACGCGTGCCACTCCTAGAGGAGGGCCACATACGGCTAGACAGCTGAAACCTTAGCAGCTATGACTTGTTAGTGCGACTAGCGAAGGGTTACATAGTGAAACCCTGCCACACTTCCTAGGTAGAGGTGTTGTGGGCTTTGCAAACCCCGGCATTGGGAATCACGGCTCGGTGGGTAAAGTTATACAATTTCTGCAGAAATATTTGATCTGTTATAACAGTCAGTGCTCACGGATACGAGCGATCTAGATCCTTCATGATTAGTGGTTACTATAGATGGTTGGGAACTTGATATAATATTGACTATTCATTACTACCAATTTGGGTTAGGATTGTTCACTAAAGTAGTGATTCAGGATGCTAAAACTTGAACAACTAAAATTGCTAACCGCAGTCAAACCGTGTCTAGCCTTTGAGCCTCATAGATCCCTTTGATATACTTGTTAAGCATGGTGAGCTTACACTTGCTTTACATTCAATGAAAATCCCGGATGGGTAACAGATAACGTGTATGAGGAGTTTCCGGAGGATGTCCAGGACTAGTAGGATGATGTTCACTAGTTAGAGTCCCTGTGGCAGTTGGGCTAGTTATTCCACTTGTGTAATAATGCTGCCAATGTGCAAGCCTATGTGATAACATTATGATGAGATACGCGATGTAATAAAGTACTTTACTTTGATATTATTACAATTTGATGATATATGTGTGTTTGGACATCCTGGGCGCACATATATGAGTGCTTGATTTTGCTATGCAAAATTGGGTGCAACTGAAAGCTCTAGTTTGGTTTTGGTTAATTGATGAAACCCTAAGTGCTAACCTAGTTTATCAAGATGTTTATGAGATAGGTAGCACTACTCCAAGTGATGAAGCAATGACGAAGATCATGACAATGGTGATAGCATGGTGATGATCAAATGCTTGAACTTGGAAAAGAAGAAAGAGAAAAACAAAAGGCTCAAGGCAAAGGTATAAAATGTAGGAGCCATTTTGTTTTAGTGATCAAGACACTTAGTGAGTGTGATCACATTTAGGATAGATAGCGGTACTATTAAGAGGAGTGTAACTCGTATCGAAATGCGGTTATCAAAGTGCCACTAGATGCTCTAACTCATTGCATATGCATTTAGGATATAGTGGAGTGCTAACACCCTTGAAAATATTTGTGAAAATATGCTAACACATGTGCACAAGGTGTTTGCTTGAGATGGGTTTGTCCCGGATTCTACGATTTTGGAAAAATGAAATGTCTATTTTCTATTAGCGGATGCAAAATTCTTGAACACATTTGAGCAAGGGTAAGAAGTTAAGTTGAAATGGAGTTGGTCGAAATGATGTCAAGGCGTCCGGTCTACATTACTACGGGTCACTTCAATGACCGGACGTCTGCGTCCGATCGAAGTAGTGGGTAGGATTGAGCATCGGATGGTAAAAGGTGGACGGACGCGTCCGGCCGAAAAAAAATGCCTCGGGAGCTTATCGAAATGACCGGATTGCTTTGACCGAGCGTCGTCACAACCGAAGTCGTTGAAATCGACGGCTGCTAAGTTTAACGCTTGTCTGATATGTTTGATCCATCCATAGACCGAGACGGCCGAGGCTGTATAGGCGTGTTTTGCCAAAGAAGGGGTACAACGGCTCTATTTGATGGGGGCTCTATTTATAGCCCCATGGCCGCTCAAGGGACCTCTTACATTTTCATTAACATAGCAACCTTGTGAGCTTAGCCAAAGCCCTCCCACTCATCTCCATCATTGATCCATCATCATTGTGAGATTGGGAGAGAATCCAAGTGCATTGCTTGAGTGATTGCATCTAGTGGCACTTGGTATTCGTGTTAGGAGGATTTCGCTTTTTTCTCTTGGTGGTTGCCACCACCTAGAGGAGCAGCGGTGAAGGATCGGTACGAGTTGGTGATTGTTCGTGGCCGCCTTCGGTGATTGTGAGGGGAGTTGTACCTTCCCAAATGAGCGCTAGAAGGTAACTCTAGTAAATTGCTCGTGTCATTGAGTTACCTCACTTGTGGGTCGGTTCTTGCGGTGTCCAATCGTGTGGACGAGGTTTGTGAAACACCTCTTAGCCGCCGAACCACCAAGTGTTGGTCGACACAACGGGGGCGTGCGCGTGTTGGCAAACACGTGAACCTCGGGAGAAAATCGATTGTCTCTCTTCTTTGTCATTCTCCCGGTGATTGACTATATATTCATCTTGTGATTGGTTCATCCCCTTACGTGTATAATCACTCTACTCACTCATTTATATTCTTGCAAACTAGTTGATACAAGCTCTTTAAAAGACTTGAGAGCTTGATATTTACATTCATCTAGTTGATGAGATAGCAAGGTTGAGAGCTCTTAGTGAGTAATTACATAGCTAGTTTGTGTGCCTAAGTATTCATTGCAACTAGAATTGTTGGATAGGTGGCTTGCAACCCTTGTAGAGCTAGAGCAAGTTTGCATTACACTATTTGTCATACTAATCAAATTGCTCTAGTTGATTTGTAGATTTTTAAATAGGCTATTCACCCCCCTTCTAGCCATATTAGGACCTTTCAGCAACACTCAACACATGTGGCATATCTTATCGATTGTTGAATAGCGTATAACACTTAAACTATTTCTCTTAATTAACCAAACAGGATCAAGTTGGTAACGATGAAAGTCGAACCACATAAAAGCTACAACTGCTCCAATACATCCTTAGGGTTTATGTGAATAAAGTAAGGAAAAGACTAAAATGAAAAGATGTGTTGGTTATAGAAAAAAAAATGCAGCATTTACCATCTTGATTAGGTTGCAAAGAGTATACACAGTGACACCCATAAGATTAACCACAATAGCTTCTACACCAAGGATTCTATTATTTTCAATAATATAATTGCTTAATAGCAAACAACAGCTATGAAAAAAAATTACAATTACCTTTTGCGTGTTAGACTGTTTGGGAGGAGGAGAAGCTTGTGAATCCTGGTCCGGTACTGCTCTCTGTGCTAGGTGTGTTAGCTCCACCTCTTCCATCTCACCATCCACTCCGACACGCTGGTAGAAGTACAAGAGCGCCTCCACCTCCACCTCCACCGCCCTCGACCGCAGCTACAACACCTCCGTCTCTTATCCCAAACCCAGAGAAGAGAGCTATAGCACCTACGCCTCCTATCCCAAACCCAGAGAAGAAAGTCCCACACAAGAAGAGTTTGGACTGGGTTTGGAACCGTTGAGATCCATGCGTTAGCCCATGGAACCGTTGAGATCCATGCGTTAGCCCATAACCGACATCAGTTAATAGGAGCAGTATGAAGACCGTGCAAGTGAGGAGGTTAACTATCCACTTTCTAATCTTGGGTAAGGCTATGAGGGAAAAAACGGACGAGGTTAAAGAAACTTTTAAAACATGTTTATTTATACATTGATTATAATGTTTTGTAAATTTTTTCCCAAAATTTTCCCCATTTTTTAAGATTAAAATTAATTTTTTGACGCTTCTAAATATACTTTAATGAGCTCTAAAAAATACTTTCACAAAACACTTGAATCCACTCTTAACTATGGACTAATACAGGTCTTGGGTGATAAATGATAAATCGAACAGAAAGCATAAGCTACGTGCATCATCTGATCTGCCTGTATGTCGATTTATGATAGAATTTAGTAATCAGTCAGTACTACAGGTTTCCTTGTACATGTTGGAAAAAAACACTAGCATGCCTCAACAGAGGACTAACAATCTAGTTTAGCATAATCGGTTATGAGTTGTTGCCCGCCATTGCCTTCAAAGCATCTTCGGCTGCAACTCTTTGTGGTACAAAATCTGAAAAAATTTGCATGAACGGACCGATAAGTTCCTCATGCTTCATAGCATAGCAACAAATGTGGATAAAGAATTTACCTGAAAGGAACTTTAAACCCTTCTGGCTGCAAACAGCTGTTGCTGAAAAATGAGAGCACAAGTTACATGAGACATGTACCAACAATAAACAATGATAGATGGAAGCCAAAGGCTACAAGAACTATTTAGTACTCCCTCCGTTCTAAATTGTAAGTTAAAACATCTTACAATTTGGAATGGAAGGAGTACTACTTAAACCGCTAGGAAACAGGTTTGATTTTGATGGTGATTCTGAGATGAGTGCAATGGGAGCACAACTACGAATTGGATAAAAGATGTGAATAAATTCATGTATCACAATCCTAGATATACATGATCATGTTTAGGGGTCTTATTTTACCCTGATAGTGAGCTTTAACAAAATCATAGCTACGCACTAAGGCCCACAAGAACAAACAATAAAATAAGATTTCAGGGACCAGCCGTCTGTCTCTTCCACACAGCAGTTGTCTATTATAGTTCTATATTGATTGTTTGCGTTTACTGCAGTACGATGCTTGACTGAAAAAAGAGAGATTCATCTAACTCAAATAGCATGGTTTTACCTGAGAATGGTCTTTTTACAACCACACAACACAAGGTACAGAAGCCTTGAACGTTTGGACAGTAAGTTCAGAGGCATATTACACAAAGTCAGTAGTTCGTGCAAACTTTGAAGATCACTGCACTCAGGTCTTAGTAGACAATTTGTGTTTCAACAATCTGATATTTTATGTGCACTGTTTGATTGTTCTGCATATTTCTTCCTCTCTACTTAAATGCAGCCACAGCTTGCGATTTTTGATTGCCTTTTTAAGCGCAGACGATGAAGAATATTAAGTTGGTTCTTTTTAGATAAAATGTAAACATTAAGTTGATAGGAAGCAAGAACCAACTTACAGAGATTATCGTAAATAATGGACTTCTTACGATCCTTCACGGCATTGCAATAAGCGTCCTCTGCAAACTTCCCCAAAAAGAACTCCTGCAATTAGAGGTGCAGCTACAATATCAAATTTCAGAAATCATTGCAAGCACCAAATGTCAGCATGTATTCCAAACGAATGAATTTTACAGGGATGAAAGGTGCAAATTGTAATAGTAGTACAACCATCGTTCCCCAACCCATCCCCCAGAAAAATGAGTATTAACAAAGAACAGGGACGGAAAGAAGCTACTCTCCAACAATCTTTTCTCTTGGTGCCATCTATCCCTCCATCCCCTGAAGACATTAATACAAAGCACTTAAATTTTTATGCCAATGATTTTGCTGGCAGTGGCAAGGCATCGGCTGTGTTAGCTTGCTAAGTAAGTAGAACATGTTTACTTGCCTCAATCAGCTAGTCAAGCCTATAATTCATAATTCATGTCTAGCTGCCCCTTGTAAATGCAAATCATCAACAAAACAGAACTCAGAAAAATTCTCCAAATACTAAGCTTCACTCGAGTTTTCTGCCCAGTCTATGAGTTTTGAAATAACTTGTGGTCTAAAACGGCAACAGAATCAAACCTAGATGCGGCGTGTTATGTGGACAATCCAGTTAGCTACAGATGGTTCATTACCATGAAGACAAGTAGATACTAGTAATATAATTAATGCTTCTAACAGATAAACAAAAGTCAAAAGTGGCAGACAACAAATCTGGAAACCCCACACTAGGCCACAAACATCCTCTCTGGATATATGTAAGAATTACTATGTTATTAGGCCAATATAATCCTATTAACGAAATCCAGCAACTCAGTAACATAAATCTAATGTCTCAATGCACAAGAATACAATAAACAACAGTACAACACCAATATTTCAGATAAGTCCCTGGCTCCCTGCAAGACAGTAAAGACACACTAGCTTTATGTACAGTATTGGTCAACGCAGTACAGAAACATAAATCGAGCAGGGTGTGATTAGGAGAGCACATGTTCCTGAGATTGCAACTAACAATATGTCAATATCTAAGTTAATTGATCTAACACCTTTCTGATGTTGATTGCATCAATGCAGTAAATCTCAGGAAATCAATCCTAAGCTATTGGCGCCAGATAGAATGATATGATGCTTTGCTAGAAAGTAGAAAATGTTTACTTCTCCAGATCAGATAGTGACGCCCACAATTCATATGTAGTTACACCTTTCAAATGTAAACTGACAACGAAATACAAATTCAAACCAATTTCACAGTAAGTTTGAGGGATTAGTAAGTTTGAGGGCAACTTCTTTCGGTGTACCAATTCACGGTGTACAGGGACAGATCCCGCAGGGTGAATTGGGGGTAGCACATGCTCATGTGGTCACAGGCTTACAGCTGACAATATCTTAAGGCAATTCGTCGCACACCTAGTCGGCACTGATGGCATCACCAAAGTAAATCTACGTAACTCAATAGATTCAATCCTAAATCATCACAATCGGATAGAATGATGCAATGCTTTAATCCTCCGATGTCTAATTGCTAGCATAAACCATTGCACTTAGAGTAAAAACGAATAGATGCGGGGGAAGGAATCATACGGAAGCCTTATTGATGAGGAAGACAGCCTCACTGGAAGCGCGGATGGTGGCGTCCTCGACCCGCATCAGCTGCCGCACCCGCGCCATGGGGAAGCTGCACACACCCATGTCTGCCGCAGCCGCCTTCTGGTCCTTCCGCTTCTTCTTCAAGGGCGTAGATGCGAGCGCCCCCCCATCGGCAGGCGCTCTCTTGGGGCTCTTGGCTTCCTTTTGGGGCTCATCGTCGCCGCGCTTCCTCTTGGTGGGCGTGGGCTTCTCGCACTTGGCTTGCTTCTTCTTGGGCGAGGTCGCCGCCGCCGCGGGCTTCCGCGCAATGCCGGGTGACTGCTGCTTCTTCTTCGGCGTGGCCTTCTCCGCTTTGCCGGGTGACTGATGCTGCTTCTTCGCGGGCGTCGCTGGCTTGCCGGGTGACTGCTGCTTCTTCGCAGGCGTCGCGGCCTTGCCGGGTGACTGCTGCTTCTTCGCGGGAGTCGCGGCTTTGCCTGCTGGCTTCTGCTTCTTCGCGGGCGTCGGGGACTTCCCGGCTGGCTTCTGCTTCTTTACGGGCGTCGCGGGCTTCCCGGCTGGCTTCTGCTTCTTCCCGGGCGTCGCGGGCTTCTCCGGCTTGCCGGATGGCTTGTGCTTCTTCGCGGGCGTGGCTTCCTTCTGGGGTTTGGGTTCCGGCCCTTCGCCGCCCTTCTTCCTCTTCTTCGCGGGCGTGGCCGCGTCGGCGGACGCCTGCTGCTTCTTACGCTTGCCGCCCACTTGGGGCTCCGGCTTGTCGCGCTTCTTCTTCGCGGCCGCCGGCTTCTCCTTGGTCATTTTGCGCGGTTTGGATGCCGACTGCGCCTTGGCGCTGGCGGCTGCGGCCTCCTCCGAAGCCTGCTTTGGCCGGCTCTTGGAGCCGGGGGCGGCGCTGCCGTTGCGCTGGGTGGAGGGAGGGGCGGGCTTTACTGGGGTGGGCTTCTTCCCGGCCATGTCGCGCCCCCCGCCGCCGCCCAAACCCTCGCCGCGAGCTCAAAAAGCGGTGGTGTGTGGTGGTTCGTTGCAGAGTTCAAAAGTGTGGTGGTTCGTTGCAGAGTTCAAAATTATCTCGGGGCCGCGCGGACGCTTCCAGACTTCTCAGTTCCAGACAATATAGCAGCCACCGAGACCGAGCCAGGGAGGAAATGTCAAAATGTTCCTTTTTTAAAAGAAAAGCTACAGTGTTTCTTTTTCTCTCCTCTTACTTCCATTCTCTTCTTCCGCGTCTCCGGCGGGCTTAAAAGGGGATCGAGGAGACATGCAGGCCCAATGATGAGGACAGGGCAATGAGCGAAGACGGCGGTGACATCGCCGGAGCAAGCAGCGGAGAAGGAGACCGGGCCAGGTTGGGGCGGAGGGCGACAATGACCATTACAGTGGTGGGAGCAGGGAAAGGAGGAGGTCATCGCGGGCGCGGTAGGGTCTCGTCATAGCTTTGCGCCCGCGCCGCGACAGGGCAGCAGAGCTCCAGCGAGACCCTACCGCGCCGTGACGGGGCAATAGGTGGTGGCGGCGCGTCGGGCTATAGTAGAAAAGAAATCCGGTGTCCAAACCCCCCGAGTGTTTGATACACATATTCTTCTTTTATTTATTTTAAGGAGAGACTATGGGGTGTTTGGGTCGAGGGGGCTAACGATTAGTCCTGTTTTTATATACCAATTAGAAGGTTAAATGTAGGGTAATTTTGGGCTATTAAGAGTTAATGAGGGCTAATTAGTGGTTAGAGTCCATTAGTCCTTATTAGCTTAGAATTAGCTCATGTTTAATCCATTTACATAAAATGGGCTAATTTTTAGCCCTGAGATCCAAATAGACCCTATTTTAAGGGCATGTTTGACAAATGAGCTAATTACTAGCTAGTTAAAATTAGCTCCGGTGCATCCAGTGAGGAAAGCTAACAGGTGAGCTTACTCTTTAGCTAAGTCTTCAATTAGTTGTTAGCCAACTAGCTAGACAACCCTAGCTAATTTGGGCTAAGTTTTAGCTCTAACTAGTAACTAGTCATGTTATCTAAACATGCCCTAACACTTGCACAAAAAACAAAGTTACATTTCCAAGCAATAGTTAGCTCACTGCAAGTTGGTCCTGAAGCGCTAAACCAATCGTGTGTCAAGTTGATGTCCTGAACTTTCGCTTGTATTTGACAATCTAATTATGGACTAATTAGGTTCGTCTCAGTTTCTCACCCAATCTGCAATTAGTTTTGTTTTTCTATTTAGTACTCCATGTATGCAAATTCTGTGACATTTTGGGGTGTTTTTTGGAAACTATAATTAGCTAGCAAACTCATCTAATTCATATATCTTCATATGAATCGCCTTTTGCTTATGTAAAGCATCAACTACTTCAATCATCTCTTCCGCACTAAACCAAAGTTAGGATTGCTGCCCCTCCTTGTGGGCCAAAAGCTGCACCACTGTGTTGTAGCTCGATTTAAGAATGCAGCATTGTTGGTACCATTCTATCGCTAGGCTGAGTCCCTCACAGCAAGCCAGTCTTCAACCTTCTCCACGTTGTGTGCCTTACAGACACATCTCCACGATGATAAGGCCTTCCACAGTGTATGGCTAAAGTGATGCCTGGAATGGAGAGAATGTTTAGGCGTCACTCTATACTGCAGCAAGTGATGCCTATTATAAGTGAATCTTGAAAAACATGAAGTGAATCTTCTACTTGTGCTAATGCCTAATTGATAACATACTGTAAATGAACTGTAGCAAGTGATTCTTTTCTCACAAAAGTACAAAACCATGGGATGGAGAGAAAAGTTATCCATAGCTCTGATGGACCGATGCTTGTTGCTCAATGTAGGATCCACTATTTCCTGGGCATCACTGCTACACTGTGGACAACCTAATTGGACTTGTCCTTCAGAGTTACCACACCTGAGTCCTCCCTCTCTAGACGTTTCAACAAAACTCCATCGACATTAGCCTTAATCCATCTCTGATCTGGTACCACCAGATCTGCTTCTTCCGAGGGGTCCTTTCCTTCTCTATTGATGTTGGGTAAGAAATTACTCAAGCATCTAAAGTTTGAACACAAGACAAAGTTGAATTCAATTCATGATCGTACTATACATGTCAGAGGGGGGTTTATAGGGCCTCAGTCTTCGTATTTTACATAAAATGACTATTTTACCCCTAACTCAAATATTTACATCCCTTTTGTACTTCAAGGGCGAAGTGGTCATTTTGCACTACTTCAGTCTTCATTCTTCTATTTAGCCATCATTCTTTCGGGAAACCTTGTCTTATGACTTAGTTGATTTCTTCTCCGCCTTTCTTTGTCTTCGTTAATCAGCGAAGTCGAATTCTTATTAGCGAAGCCAAACTTCTGTCTTCGCTCTTGGTATTGACTTCTTCTACGTCTTGATTTCTTCATCTTCTAAGCAAAGCCGAATCTTTTCAGAAGTCAAAATGTTGCCTTCGCTCTCTTTTCCCTACAAACAGATATTGTTACGGAATTTTAAGGTTTCAGCTCCAAAGTTTGGGGCTATGTTTTCCGATGAAGTTAAATTCCCAACAGCAGCCCCTCGTGGACGAAGGCCTACTCCAAAGGTCTGAATTCCGTAAAGTTTGAATTTTAGAACGAAGACAAAAAACGTCGTCCCGAACTTTGGAGTTGGCCGTTTATATCCGTTAGACTTATGAACAGTTGATTTTTGAACTGCAACGGTCGAATTTGATCGACAGAATTTGAACCGTTGCGTTTGACCCGAAGCCGCCTATATATACTGCGTCCTCCCCTCCTGATTTTGTAGCTTTGTCGAAGACGGGGAGGTTATGTTGAAAATTTCTTTGAAGCGAAGTCAAAAGTTTTAGCGAAGCCAAATTCTCTTCCGCAGACCGTTTCTTTACAGGGGTGAAAGTTTGATTGACTAAGGTTAGTTTTTTACTTTGTTTTTTTTTGCTATTATTATTTTTATCTTGCTGAGTTTTTTTTCTTGTTTTCTAGATGTCTGATCGAGAGAAGAATGTTTCTACAAATTCACCAGTTGAATCTGATCATTCTGGATCTAAAGAGGATTTGTCTGATGTCTCCGCATGTGAGTCAGAATTAATTCGAGATGATACGAAGTCTTTAATTTTTGGAAAAACTTTGATGGATGAGGCTGAATTACAGTGGATGGTTACTAACAGAATGTTGGAAAAGGCTTCTGTTCATTTGCCTGGGGGTGAGACAACTGCTAAGCTAGAGCCTCATGAATGTGTTGTTTTCCGAGATCAATTTACTGTTGGTCTTTGCATGCCCTGTCAAGATTTTATTGAAGAAATTTTGAAGGCATACAATATTGAGATGCATCATTTGACTCTGAATGGGATAGCAAAGATTGCACTCTTTGTTTAGGCAGTGAAATCTCAAAAAGCAAATTTGGATATTGGAGCTTTTTATAATCTTCATGAGATGTATACTCAGTTTAGAAACAAGACGGTGGATGGCAAAACTATTATCAAATACTTTGATTGCTGTAGTTTTAAGCCTGCTCGAGGTGTCAAGCAGATTTCACCGGCTTCCAAGAATAAGTGGGTTGAAAATTGGTATCGATACTGGTTTTACCATTTAGTTCCTCTTGTTGAAGAAAGAGATGATACAAGGAAAGTTGTAAAACGATATCCATTAGCCACGAAGATGAGCGGGAATATTTTTATTGTAAACCTAATTTTCCAAGTTCAAAGAACTCTAAAACTTGCGAAAAGGTTTATAAGTTGGCTGCCAGTATGCAAAGTGCTCGTGATTTTTAAAGAATATATTGCAGCTCGAATTTGGCCTCTAAAAAAGGGCTGGAGTTGTGTTCATTTTCATGAGAAGGTTGTGAAAGGAAAGAATTATTTGTTTCCAGATAATGAAGCTTTCCGTCCAAAGAAGTACTCCAAAGATGAAGATTTTGTCTCTGTTGTTGAAGTTAAAGCAGTTGAAATTCTTGGGATGTTTCTAAAGAAAGAAAAAGTTTTGATGGACAAGATTTTGGGAAAGGATTACAAGAGTTTGAACAGGGTTTTTTGATATTGCTCAGATCGGATATGGTGAGAGACCTCCGTTAGCTTATACTCGTAGCGCAAAGCCGGGTATAGAGAATGTAACAAAGAAGAAAAGAGCTGGTGGACAGCTTGTTAAGAAGACTAGCAAGAAGAAGCTTGCGGGAAGTGATGAAGAAGGTTACTACTCCTTCCGATTCTGAGAAGCTTGGGGGGAAGTGATGAAGATATGGGTCAGGAGACTCTTAGTCAACTAGCTCATGATGAAGAGGTGAGGATGATTAATTTAGTTTTTAATTCTAGTGGGTTGACTCCATCGATGTTGACTCCGCTTGGTGATTATTTCCAGAATTTCAAGGCCAATGTTCATTCTAATGTTAATTTGGGCGAAGCTACTTTGTCTTCGTCTCAAGTTAATGTTGACGAAGATACTTTGCCTTCTCCGGTTATTTCTGTTCATTCTCCTGCTGTTTCTACTGCTATTGCTACAACTGCGACTATAGAGTCGCAAGAAGAAGGTGAGGTTGCTACTTTGGCTTCGCAGGAGACTGCTGAGCCATCTTCTCAAAGGTTTGTTGCTGAAACTCCACCAGGGACTGCAGGAGATGTTGGTGCTACTCTTCACGTTGCCTCACCTCCCCAAGTTGTGATGCAAGATACTGATTTAGGAGGTGGGCCTATGGAGACTGATGCTCTAAAAGTTAAAGCTCACAAGGGTAAGGGTACTACTACCGTTACCCTTGATTTTGATGATTCTGATGATGATATCTTTGACGAAGAGGTCAAAAATGCCCGTGCTTCTCGTCTTTGTGAGTCCACAATTGATGTAAATACTTGTGAAAAAGTTGCATATCAACTTGAGAAGGGTGTTTCTATGGGTAAGTTTGTTTTGTTTTCTTTGTGCCTGCTTTTTTACTTTTGACTTTGATTATTGACTTACTAATTTTTGACTTGTCTTTTTTGTGCAGAGGAATT